AAAACAAATAACATTTTATGATTGGGCATTGCATGTCTCTTTAGTATCTAAGCCAGTGGTTCTCAACCTTCTGGCCCTTTAAATACAGTTCCTCATGTTATGACCCAACCATAAAATTATTTTCGTTGCTACTTCATAACTGTAATGTTGCTACTGTTATGAATCATAATGTAAATACCTGATATGCAGGATGGTCTTAGGTGACCCCTGTGAAAGGGTCGTTTGACCCCCAAAGGGGTTGCGACCCACAGGTTGAGAACCGCTGTTCTAGAGGGTAAATAAATAGCCTGTAAAACTGTTTCCCTTAATCATTGTTTTAGAACTTTTTTTTGATAGGACAATGAGTATCTTTTTGTTTTTAATTTTATTTGTATGGTGAAGCCTTGTGAGATTTTCTGAGGGCAGCAAAGAAGAAATTGTTGGAATGCTCAGAAAACTCCTGCTAACAGCACTATTGTGTGGTTGATTTTCAACAGTGAGGGAAGATTAGGCATGGGGAGCAAGGTGCATTTGTGTCTCTTTTCTTGCAAGTCTGAATTAAAGCACAAATTTTGTTATAAATGAAATAAGGAAAAGCTGATGGTTAGGGCCTCTGACTTTGATTTTTAAAGTTTTAGAAATTAGTACATGATACTAACCCTTTGGATAGGCAGGTATTTTTTTTTTTTTAATTCAGAAAGAATGTTGTGGAGGGCAGCAAAGAAGAAATTGTTGGAATGCTCAGAAAACTCCTGCTAACAGCACTATTGTGTGGTTGATTTTCAACAGTGAGGGAAGATTAGGCATGGGGAGCCAAGGTGCATTGTGTCTCTTTTCTTGCAAGTCTGAATTAAAGCACAAATTTTGTTATAAATGAAATAAGGAAAAGCTGATGGTTAGGGCCTCTGACTTTGATTTTTAAAGTTTTAGAAATTAGTACATGATACTAACCCTTTGGATAGGCAGGTATTTTTTTTTTTTTTAATTCAGAAAGAATGTTGTGTAGGAGATTGTCCTACCATAATCTGAAATAATTAATTACATTTAGTAGTTTTCTGTCAAGTATTCATTAAAATAAAATTCCTAGTAACATGTTTGTCATCCTTTAAAGTACCTTATTTGATGGTTGAATAAACGTAATTGTTCTTGTATTTATATTTTAATGAATATTTTTGCAAATTACCCTGAAATCAATGTGACATTCTAGTTCTGACATTTGAATGTAAGAATTGCTCATGTTTCTGGTTAGCACTTTTAAAAGTACTATCTAGGAAATCTTAGTTTCTATAAGAGAATATAGCCATTAATTTTTTCCTACAGATTAGGCAACAGAAGATTTGTGAAAACAAAATGTATTGATCTCATTTATGTCCCCTTGATGAAGGAAAACATGCTGGTCTCCGCTCGCTTTCTGTCCACTAATATGAAATCCTTGTCCCTGCTTCCTTGCTGGTAGGTTTTTAGAAGTTCAGTGAGCAATGAAAATCGCCTGAAGGGTGGAAAATTTCCTTGTTACACAGATTTCCTTATCAGCAGCAACCAGATGGAGCTCTGAGCAGGAACATTATCAATGTTAAATTGCTTTCCTTCCCCTTCTTGCCCTCTCCCCCCCCCAACAAGTAGAGAGGATTAAAGCATTCCTTTAGAAATGGGTGACAAATGTACAGACTTAGGAATATTAATATTTTAAAGTTTGCATTTCTAAGTAAATATATGAAAATAACATTTCAAAACATTCTTGTTCATAAAAACAATTAGAACTAGTTCAAAATGTTTTGTTTTAAATAAAATAGCATATGTTTTTTCTTGAAATCATTTGCAAAGAGTAAGCTTGAAACTTGGCTGACTAATTTTTTTATTTTTTTTTATTTTTTAAGACTGGGGGATAGCTCACTATTAGTGTCAAATGCATGTCTAGGATATAAACAACTTCATTCAGTTTTAGTTGTGGCAAATGTATATTTAAGATTATTAATACTGTTGAAGTAAAAATACATAGTTTATCACTCAGAATTTTTATTTATTATTTTGGCAAAAATTGCTATTTTACTGTTACTATTTTTGAGTGAATCTTTAGATTCTTCATCAGTTTGATTTTTGAAATGTCAATTTACTAATTATTGCTATTTTGTAAGCTGATAATTGCTAAATATTTTATAATTTCAGGTCTTTATGAATAATACTACTGATGTTTAGCAGTATCAATAGTTACACAATATATTTTAATAAATCTAATTTTAGACATCCACAGAAGAGACTGCTGTTAATTATGTTGTTCCTAGTCACTTTTATGTTAGTGATTTTGTTTCTTAATATTGATTTCTAGAATCATCCAAGCTCCAATGAGTGATAACCATTTCTCTGATAGAAAAATTGGTCTTCACTTGTGCGTTGTATGATAGTAACCACCTACTCAGTGGCTAACAGTTGGAATACAAATTCTTTCTTTAGATTCATTAGCAGGTTTATGAAGTGCATTGTAGTTATTTTCCTTATGGCCTAGTTTTTAGTATTTGCCAACATTTGGAATTTTGAACAATTATACTGTGACATGTGCGGTTTTGCAGTTATAAATATGAATATATAAGTAAGGACAATAAGCCTTCCCCTTTTTATTTCAGAAATAAAATTGTACTGATATTGCATAGATTATACTTTTGCAAATAATAAAGTTGAACTTCATTGTTTAGGTTGACTCAGTCATATCAGTAAGACAAATTAAGAAATATTGCTTCAGCCTAATGACTGAGATATATTATCATGCTTTACTTACAGAACAAATTTGGAACTTGAATTAATACATCGAGGAGGGAATTTGTGTTCAGGGGGTGCAAGCACAGCTGGCAAAAGGTCTTGTTTAAGTAAGTATTAAATGGTGCTAAAATTTTCTATTTATGTCTTTTTTGAAGGCATACACAGACAAAGTAATCTTTTGGTGTATTTTTAGATTCTTTTTATATTGTATATAATCAGTTTTAATAGTGATTATATGCTTTAAATGGTTAATCTTGTACTTAGAAAAAAATCATATGAATATTAGCTCTTTCTGTACTGTGATTACTCAGTAAATAACTGTCATGCTAATTGACCACATTTACATTGGTTCTAAAACAATGTTATTCTCAGCTATAAAAAATTGTTCTTGAACTAAATTCTTTTATTTTCTAAAAAATATATTTTATTGATTTTTTTACAGAGAGGAAGGGAGAGGGATAGAGAGTTAGAAACATCAATGAGAGAGGAACATCGATCAGCTGCCTCCTGCACACCCCCTTCTGGGGATGTGCCTGCAACCAAGGTACATGCCCTTGAGGGAATCGAACCTGGGACCCTTCAGTCCGCAGGCTGACGCTCTATCCACTGAGCCAAACCGGTTAGGGTGAACTAAATTCTTTAAAAGAATTCTCTCATTGTGTACATTTAAGAAAATCTTTTCATAATGGCAACTAGTATTGACTATAGATTCCTCTATATAGCTGCTATTAATTAAGGAACGCATTTATGTTGTATTTTGATATACATGTTAAAACCTATTAAAGTTGTATATGTTTGCTTTTATTTATGAATATACTTTATATTGTAAAGTGGCATGATTCTTTAATACTTTTTGTAAGGGTATAGTTGAAAGAAGTGTCATTTGGAACTTAAAGTAGATTTTTCATGAACATGAACTTGAAACCTGGGTATGTGCCCTGACCGGAAATTGAACCCAAGACCCATCAGTGCATGTGAAGATGCTCCAACCAACTCAGCCACACCTAACAGGGCTGTTATTTTTTTCTTCAGGTTGAATCAAAATTCTACCTAAAAAAGATGTTGGGGAAAATATTAAATAAAGAAAAATACTTCACCTAACTGATTTGTATGGTTGTTATTGTCCATATTATTCAGGGTAGGGTATTGAAGATAATAGTAAATTTTGTTTAGGAACGAGACAACAATAGTGAGAAGCACATGTTGTAAAGCTGTGGCATAAAACGCCGCAAAAGTAGATCTATGACAGATGAGGAAAAGGAACCATTCCTGTTAAGATGGACTATAAGGACAGTCCAGACACTACTTGAAATTATTTAGATATATTTCAGAATTTAGCTTAAAAGAGAGCATGAAGTAGTTGGTACTTAAACCTGGTGAATGATAATTATAAGAATAGGAAACATTCCTTTATAAATTAGACATTTTGTCTGAATTTTGTTCTGGAAGAATTTTGTAAACTTTCTAATTACCTTTTCTTTAACTTATTTAGATCAACTGTTCCATGTATTAGCCTTGCACATGCGGCTTTATAGCATTGATTCTGAGTTTAATCCCTGGAGAAAGCTTACTCAGTTAGAAGAGATGAATTCGCAGTAAGTATTACTGAAAGATTAAAGTTAATTAAAACTGTTTTTGAAAAATGCAGCTAAAACGTTCAAATGGATGTACACAATAGCTGGTTGTGCCTCGTTTTATGTCAGAATTGATCAGTGGATTCAGGTAGCCTAAGCCTGATCCCTCCATTGTTAAGTTCCCCATCAGCCTTTCATCTAATGATTTTTGCAATCCCTGATGATTCTTGCCTTAATCTGATATTTCATTAGATGCTGCAAAATAGTGATTTTAAAAAACCTTTCTTCGGTTGTACTAGATCAGGGGTGGGCAACTTTTTTGTGAGTGTGTGCCAAAGCCAGAAAAATCTCTGACTCAAAATTCTTCTGTGTGCCAACCCTAATTTTTTGAGAACATGTTACGCCTACTTGATATCTCTTAAGGCGTACGTATGTGAAGAACCTTGAAGAAATAATAAAATTCATTCGAGCGACAAAAACACAGTATATGATGATGAAAAATACATTTATTTTTTGATGTATACATGTACACTGATAGTCCGACAGAAAACTTTATGACTCCATTTGATATTATCAGTGGGACAATCCATGTCTGTGTTCTTTAAGATAACTTGTTATGTAAAATTACTTATTTATCTAAGATGCACCTACACTGAATTTATCTGAAAAATAAAAAAGTCGATATTAAGAAAAAAATTGTAAATGGAAGATTATAAGAGAGGGTTTCGCGTGCCAGCAAAAGTTACTGGCGTGCCATGTTTGGCCCGCATGCCAGGGGTTGCCCATCCCTGTACTAGATGTTGGATTTATAGTATAGATGGCTCTGAGGAGGGGGAAGTGTAGTCTTTATGGTGAATGATGATGATTAATTGACTATTTATATGAGAAACAATTAATGTTGACCCTTACCTCATACAGAACCTGTTCAGATTTTGCTAGTTGTTTCAGTAATATCCTGGGAAATGCAAATGCAATGCAAAGACCATTCAAAATCATGCTTGTGTTTAGTTGTCATGTCTCTTTAGTTTCCTTTAATCTGAAATTGTTCCTGACTTTTTCTTTGTATTTTATGACACTGACTTCTTTTTTGAAGGGTTTAGGCCAATTATTTTGTAGAATTTCTCAAATTATTTTTGTGTAATATTTCCTTGTAGTTAGATTCAAGCTATAAACTTTTGGCAGAAATACCACAGAAGTAATGTGTTCTTTTTACTGTGTTGTAGCAGGAGGCACATGCTGTTGATTTGTCTTGTTATTGATGATAGTAATTCTCATCATTTGGTTAATGTGGTATCTGCTAGGTTTTTTCACTGTAAAGTTATTTTATCCCTTGTAGTTAGTATCTGTGGGAGATACTTTGAAGTTATGAATACATCCTGCTACTTCTTCAAAACAAAATAAAATTGTGTGTGTGTTTTGTGTTTATAGATAAAATGAGCAAGCTGTAAGTATTTTGCATATTATGGCTAAGGAAAATCACTTTTGTTCATATTAGCTAGTGATTTTCTTTCTTAGCTGGACTTGCATACCCAGGGACAAGGATGGTGTGCATAAAGTATTAGCATACTTAACAATCATTTGGTTTAAGAAAAAATAATGGTAAAATTAGGCCTATTAACACTAACCCACCCATTTTCTCTTATCATCTGTAGAGTTAATAGTAGTGTACAGTTTTTATAATCTAGATTTTTTTAAAGATTAGCTAAAAACTTTAGAAGTTAGAAACAGTTACATATTTTAAAAAATTATCTTTACTGTTGAAAGTATTACAGATGTCCCCCTACATCCCACTCCTGTCTCCCCCCGCCAGGTCTTCACTGCACTGTTGTGTGTGTCTATGAGTTATGCATATGTGCATATAAGTTCTTTGGTTAATCTGTTATCCCTTCCTCTTCTTCACTCTGAGATTTGTCAGTCTGTTGCATGCTTCCATGTCTCTGGATCTGTTTTGTTCGTGAGTTCATTTTGTTCATTAGATTCCACATATAGGTGAGATCATGTGATATTTGTCTTTCTCTGACTGGCTTATTTCGCTTAGCATAATATTCTCCAGGTCCTTTCATTCCGTCTCAAAGGGTAAGAGAACCTTATTTTCTACTGCCGCATAGTATTCCCTGGTGTAAATGTACCACAGCTTTTTTATCCACTCATCTACTGATGGGCACTTGGGCTGTTGCCAGATCTTAGCTATTGTAGATAGCACTGCTATGAACATAAGGGTGCATATATTCTTTTTGATTGGTGTTTTAGGATTTTTAGGATATATTCTTAGAAGTGGGATCACTGGGCCAAATGGGAGTTCTACTTTTAATTTTTTAAGGGAACTCCATACTGTTTTCCACAGTGGCTGTACCATTCTGCATTACCACCAGCAGTGTACTAGAGTTCCCTTTGCTCTACATCCTTGACAGTTCTTGTTTGTGATTTGTTCATGGTAGCCATTCTGACAGGTGTGAGGTCATACCTCATTATGGTTTTATTTTACATCTCTCCGATGATTCGTGACTTTGAGCATTTTTCATATGTCTCTTGGCCATCAGAAATAATTATGTATTTTAAATATTAAGCATTTAAAGGATAATTATCACAATGATGTTATTAAACCCCACAGTCAAAATCTATGCTTCTCTTTCGACAGTGGGGTGAATTCATTCATTCATTCATAGTATGTGCCTACTGTGTGCCAGGAAAATCCATTTCTATGTCTTCAGAATGATTGTTTTTATCTTAGTAGCCAACAAGCTCCAGTTTATTATTTTTACATTTTTTTCTGATTATAAAAATTATACTTATTGTACAATGCTTAGAACATACAAAAATGCTGAAGATGAGAATGAAATGATCTAGAATCTTATAAACTATGTGTTATATATAGTTTATTACAGTTTAATGAACTCATCAACCATAAAAGTGAGAGCAAATATAGGGATAAATCATATTTTCTGAGATATCCTCTCCACTTTTAACATTATGAGATATTTTTTCACTTTCTTTTTTATATGTACATATATTATAAATTTTACAATACTATTTGATTCATACTCTATCAGTTTTGGAATTTTAAATTAATATATAACAACCAGATTCCCTTATCATTAAAAATTCTTTAAATGATGTACCTAATTTATTTATTCATTCATTTCTATTGTTAATTATTTAATTTTTCTTTTCCCACCATAATATCAGATGATGTGTTAAGCAGTTCTCTTGACATGTTAGATGTAACCTAGAACTATAGAATAACATGAAACTATAGAATAACATAATGGTTTAGATTATTTCAGTAATTTATTTGATAAATATTCACTGAGTGTTAGGAACTGTGTTGTACAGAGCAACATTGCTTCTCAGAAAGATTGTACCTATATAAACTTAAATTGTCAATCTAAGAATGTCCTCATTTCCGTCAATCTTGACTATTAGTACTTAAAAATATTTTGGGGATAATTTGAGAGTCAAAAATTGGGATCTCATGCCCAAATGGTGTGACTCAGTGGTTGAATGTTTGATTCCTAGTCAGGGCACATGCCAGGGTTTGGTGCTCAATCCCAGTAGGGGGCATGCAGGAGGCATGTTATCATTGTTATCATTGATGTTTCTATCTCTCTCCCTCTCCCTTTCTCTTTCTGAAATTAAAAAAGGGATCTTAAAGTAATAGAAATTTATATAACTTCTGGTGAAGTTAACTTTATATAAATATTTCATACTTATTAGCCATTTGTGTATAATCTGTGAATTACATATTTAGGACATCTGTACATTTTTCTGTTTGTATCTTATTTTTTAAATATTTCTGAAGGATTCTTTATTGATGTTTCTCTCTCTCTCTCTCCCTCTCTCTCGCTCTCTCTCTCTCTCTCTCTCGCTCCCCCCCCCTTTCCTCTCTCTAAAGTCAGTGAAAACATATCTTTGGGTGAGGATTAAAAAAGATTATTTTTTAGGCAAAAATTATGGCTCCTAGCTTTTTCTTTTGAAAGTTCTCAGGTGCTTATGAAAGTTTGATTTCTGATCCATAGGCATATGTGTAAAATAGAAAATGAATTAGAAAGAAAAGATGTACAATACTGTCTAAAGTGATTATGCATTTTCTTTTAGGTTGGGAAATGAAGAACAACAGCCTGAGGTTCCAATTCTTTATCATGATGTTACATCCCTTTTGCTTATCCAGATTTTAATGATGCCACAACCCTTACACAAAGGTATGTCTTTATAATTCAGATTCTTAGATTACATAGTATATATAATGAATATTCTACTAATTGTAGCAACAAATGTAGCATTCATCTGATGGTATTATTTAGAGGTAAATAACATTGTTTTTCCTATTTTTAGTAAATAGTTATCATATATATAAAGAAAATGACAAACAAAATTGTTTTTTCCCTTATAGGTCTATTTTTTTTAGCTTTTTAGTCCATAATGAGGTAAAGACATGGGAAATGACTCTGAAAACCTGTTTTAAAAAAATTAAAGTGATAATACAAAAACATGAAAAATAAAGCAAACTTTCAGCCTTAATAGCTCCACCCTATTTACATGCATATACTAATACATTTTAATATAGTAATATCATCGATTTATTCAAATGTGATGTCCCATCATTTTTAATTAGTGTTAATGTCATAATATTGATATTAATATTATACTACAAACATTTTAATTGCTCCAGTTTTTATTTGAAAACATTTAAACTATTCTGTCAAGTAATTAACTATTCTCCTTTGGTGGGAAACAGGTTTCTGCTTTTTTCTGTTTGTTTTTGTGCTATTTAAGTTACACTAGAAAAAACATCTGTGGGGTCTAGAACAAATCTTCCAAAATTTTATAAGGAACCACAAAAGACCCTCAGTATTCTCAGCAATCTTGAGAAAGAAGAACAAAATTGGAGGTATCATACTACCTTATATTAAATTATACTACAAGGCTATTGTAATCAAAACAGCCTGTTACTGGCATAACAACAGGCATATAAATCAATGGAATAGAACAGAAAGCCCATAAGTAAATCAATGGTCAATTAATATTTGACAAAGGAGGTAAGAACATACAATGAAGTAAAAACAGTTTCTTCATTAAATGGTAAAATTGGACAGGTACATGCAAAAAAAAATGCAACTAGACCACCAACTTATACCATACATAAGAATAAACTCAAAATGGACAAAAGAGTTAAATGTAAAGTCGGGAAACCATAAAAATCCTAGAAGAAAACATAGGTAGTAAACTCTCAGACTCTCTCATAGCAATATTTTTGTTAATATATCTCTTCAGGCAAGGGAAACAAAGGAAAAACTAAACAAATGGGACTACATAAAACTAAAAAACTTTCGTATAACAAAAGAAAACATTAACAAAATGAAAAGGCAGCCCACTACATATTTTCCAATAAAAAATCTGCTAAGGGATTAATTTCCAAATATATAAAGAAATTTATGAGTCAATACCAAGAAGCATAACAAACCAATTAAAAAATGGGCAAAGGATTGAATAGACACTTCGCTAAAGAGGACATTCAGATGGCCGATAGACATATGAAAAGATGTTCATTGTCACTAATCATCAGAGAAATGCAAATTAAAACCAAAATGAGATATCACCTCACAGCTGTCATGATTATCATCAGTAAATCAACAATCAGTACTGGCAAGGATGTGAAGGAAAGAGAGGCCTATACACTGTTGGTGGGAATGCAGACTAGTGTAGCCACAGTGGAAAACTGTGTGGCGTTTCTTCAAAAAATTAAAAATGGAACTACCTTTTGGCCCAGTAATCCCACTTTTGGGAATATATCTGAAGAAACCTGAAACACTAATTCAAAAGAATATATGTACCCCTATGTTCATGGCAGCATCCTATCTAATAATAGAAAAACATGGTAATTAACCATACCTCCAACATGCTTCCCATTGGCTAATCAGGGTGATATGCAAATTAACTGCCAACCAAGATGGC